GTTTTATTAATTAAAGTTCAAGCCCTCTTTCTCAAGAGACTTGAAGTTTTCTTTCAAGTAGCACCAAATTTCCGTTTATTTCATTTTCTTTCCAAAATATTCGAACCATCAACAATTCAATCACACAAAATTCCATTTTTATTAATCTTGTTCTCAATTTTTATCTTCGTATATTATCTTATTACTCATAGATCATAAACCATGGATTGCAAGCTTCCTCGACCCGAAGGGAGTACACTTACAACCGCGTAGGTCGATATATATATACACATAGAAACATATACTTATATGTATAGCACATATAGATTATAAATAAACCATGGATCAAGTACTTTCTTCGACCACGCAGGTTTAGGAAAACCATGGATCGAAGTTTCCTTAAGATCACGCAGGTCTAGTATATATACATAAATAAAATTACAATATTATTCTTAGTTCTTAAAGATTATATCATTTAAAGCTTAGATTCTTACATGCATGGATGATCAAAGCACAAATTAAACACAAAGTTTTATTTTCTTCCTCCTTTAGTTTTCGGTCACCACAATAACATTAACAAGAAATTAAAGAGAAGAAAAATACTATTGGTGTTGAAGCACTTGTAGCAAGAATTCAAAAATTCTCACCTTAATCTTCTTAGAAAATTGGGAGGGTGTTCTTTCCTTTCTACAAGGAGAAGAAGAAGAAATTTTAGAAAGAGGGGAAGAGAATCTTAGTTTCTTGAAATTTTCAAAAATGAAGAAAAGAAAGAAGATGAAGAAGACTTACTCCTTTGGCCAAGAATTTTACACTTGAAAGAGAGAATTTGGGGCTTTCCTATACTATAATTTCGAAAATTGGGAGAAGACGAGAAAGAGATTTTGATTTTTATAATGTGTAGAGAAAAATGAGAAATAGATGAAGGCTTGGGTTCTATTTATAGAGTTGTGAGGGACTTGTATGCTTAATGATTAAGGAGTGGTCTTTTTGCAATTTAGGAAAACTTAGGAATTATCTAGAGGGACTTCTTTGCAATTTCATTTAACTCTCCAAAAGAAATTCAAAAAGGAAAAATCTTAATGCACATGGGCTCACCTAGACAAGGGTTGTACTCAAGGAAAATATTTGGTCATGTGTTGTACCATGGTCAAAATTGAGGGATGAATAGGAGGAAATTTTCTATTTTTATTAAAGAAAATATGTGATTTTAAAATTCTCCTAACAAATAAGTTCTAGCAAACAAAAGAGTATAATTAACCTCTAGATTAATAATTAACTAAGATGATCAATTTAAATCCGTCCAAAAATTATTTCGGACTAATGCATTCTATATGAATTTTCACCGGTTATCACATAAATAAAATCTTAAACAAATAAACGCACATAAGAGATAAAATCACGTTAACTAAATAGATGCTAATTAATGAAAAATTAAATTATCGGAGACGCGGGGTGTTACAGAGTTTCAAAGAATTTTGATTTTTGAAATTTTGACAATGAACGAAAAAATGCATGCGAAATGAATATATTGCTATATGTGCCTATCATTTCAGATACAAAACTTACCCATAACCCTTTGAAACACTGTCATGATTTAGAGGATGTTTGGCAAAGCTTATAAGATGTTAAAAGGAGCTTATAAGATATTTTAGATCTTATAAGCTCTTTCAAAGTGTTTGGTAAATTGTTAGAAAAAGATCTTAATTTTTTTTTAAATAAGCTGTTGGAGAGCAAATAAGATCTTTTTAAATAAGTACATCTACCCCACCTTTTTATTTAAGATCTTTTTAAATAAGTACATCTACCCCACCTTTTTATTTAAGATCTTTTAATGAGTAAAAATAGGAAATAAACCCATTATCCAAACACTCTAAAAATTAATCCTAAAAATAAGATATAACAGTTTATCAGCTCTTAAAACATCTTATCAGATATAAGAGCTTATCAACTGTCTAAAATAAGCTTAGCCAAACACCCTCTTAAACTCTAGTATATTCATGATATAAACTCTAATATAACTTCAATTTCACTAATTTGAATTGTTTTTTCGACAATTTTTTCTGTTTATAAATGTTTTTGGAATCAGTTTTAGAATGTCACTTTTGACAATAGCACAACCAAAACGAATCGGCAATAGTCAACACAACTACAGTTAACCCTCTATAAATTAATACAGTTGGGATTAGGGAAATTCTATTAATTTAGCGAATTAATAAATTATCGAGTTAATAATTTAATACGTTTTCACCGAGTCATGACCGAAAGAAACTATTCTTTAATCAAGGTTATTAATTTATCGAATATTAATTTATCGATGTTCTACTGTATATATTTTTGTTTTTGAAATTTCTTCCTTTTTTTTTCCTTCTATTATTTTGTGGTTAGAAGTAAAATAACGGTACTATGTTGTGGTTACTAGTAAAACAGCTCTATTATATTGTGATCAACAATAAAATAGTTGGTGGTGAAAACAATAACATTACCGGAAATAGAATGAAAAAAATAAAAAAAATAATGTTTATGTAGAGAAAACAAATTGTAAAAAATGTTAGGGTGCATTTGGATGGAGGGATTTGGGGGAGGGATTTCAAATCCATAATAACAAATCCCTCGGACTTGTTTGGATTGAGGGATTTGGAGATGGATTTCAAATCCCCACCCCTCCTTTTTAGTTATGTTTTGAGCAATTGAGGTGGATTTCAAATGACTCCAAAATTGGAGTCATTTCAAATCCATTCCCCAAATCAAATCCCTCCCCAAATCCCTCCATCCAAATGGACCCTTAGTGTTACTGTGAAAAAAAAAATTTGTAAAAATTAATGTTAATTGATATAAATAATGTTTGATTACACTACAAAAGCACAAATGGTCTAGTGGTAGCATAGCACTTTGTGTATCAAAAAGATCTGTAAATTGAGCAAGAAAGACGGTGTGGTGGTTTTAGGTTCTAGAAATGTGACAAACCCGAGCTCCCCACACTAGACACGGCCATGGGCCGGTTTTGGGCCCGGAACCAGCCAGTTGACGACCCGGCCCAACCCGTTGACCGGTGAACCGGCCCGGAACCCGTGAACCGGCCCGTCGTCCCCGGGACGGGCCCGGTTCTATGAAATGGTGAACCGTGAACTGCCGGGTCGGCCCGGCGGTTCACCCGGATTTAAAAAAAAAAAAAAAAAATTCAAAACAATTCAAAAAAGAGCAAATAACGGCTGGTGAACCGGCCCGAACCGGCCCGGGTGAACCGGCCGTTATTTGTTTTTTTTTTTATTTTTTCCCCCCCAATTTTTCCTATAAATATCCTCACACCCCAATTTTTCCTATAATTTACTTATTCATCAAATATTTCAAAAAAAAAATATAAAAAAAAAATTAAAAAAAAATTCAAATTTTCCAGGCCGACCCGGAACCGGCCCGGATAGGCCTGGAACCAGCCCGAACCGGCGGGCCGACCCGGCCCGCCGAACCGTTCATATTACGGGCCGGTTCCGGTTCCGAAAAAAGTGAACCGTGAACCGGCCCGTGGCCGTGTCTACGGCCCACACTCTTACTAAGGTGGTGTTTGTAAAAGCTTTTAAAAATAGATTATGAGCTTTTTTTCTCCATATAATCTGTTTTTAGTGTTTGCAAAATGGACTTTTATTTTTCCTTCTCTTAAAATAAGCTGCTTTAAGCTATAATTTTAAAACCACTCATGTATCTTCTTTTTCTATTTAAATTGATTTTCCCGATTTTTCGCAAACACCCCCAACCTTTTGAATTACGCACTTAGGTGGTGTTTGCAAATGATTATTTAAAAGCAGAATTTAGTGATTGTGAGTTAAGTCAGTTTTAAGTGTTTATGTCTAAAAGTTGGGGGTGTTTGCAAATATTCCGGAAAATGAACTTTAATGAAAAAGCATGGTTAGGGGTGCTTTTAAAAAAATAGCTTAAAGCAGATTATTTTAAGAGAAGCAAAAGCAAAAGTTGATTTTACAAACACCTAAAAACAGATTATGAGTAAATAAAAGCTCATAATCACTTTCAAAAAGCTTTCGCAAACACCACCTTAATATTAACTTAACTCAAACTCACCAACTTATGCTTTTAAATAAGTTTTTGCAAACACCACCTAAGAATATGTCAAATAATATAGTGATAATATTGGAACCCAAAGTAGAAATTATTGATTTTGATGGGCTAGAGCCAAAATGATTTGAACTCAATCAATTCCAAGAAATTCACTATATCAACGGCTCACTTATTTTTAATATTCACATGTCCGCAAAAAAACCTTAAGAAAGATAATTTTTTACTATTTCATATAATTGTTCCAAATTGATGAATAATATTTGTTTTCGTATGAACAAAACAAGCTATATATATTCCGATGCAAATTCAAGCTGTAAGGAAAAAAAAAAAAAAAAAGAAAAAAAGATTACAACTCAGCCACATAAGAAAAGTCAAGTGGTAAAAGTAAACAAATAAGTCTGACCATGAATAAAAAAAAGGAAAAGGAAAAAAAGAGAAAGAAAGAAAGGTTTGTTCATTGCAATTAACATACCCTTTGTTTCCATATGATCCCATGTGAGCATCTCTCGAACTTAGCAAACTTTTCCAACCATAAAAAACTAGACAAACAACACTTTTGTTTTCTCAGCCTTTTTGTCCACTACATATATGCAAAAATAAAACATATATAGTTATACATATAGATATATGCCAAATCACGGCGAGCCCTGATGTATGGCTAAATTACGAAAAAACCTTCTAGTTTGGGTAATTACAGTCACCTCCTCGTTTTAAATATTTTTACATAAAATTTATGTAATTCGGTTATTTACCGAACAAAATCGTATATTTAGTTCGGTAAACGGTTTTACTGAATTAAAATCCCTAAATTTACCTTTAGAGAGGTCTTTTCGTAAGATAATACATAGTTCAGGGGTGACTATAATTGCCCAAACAGAAGAGGAGTTTTCATAATTTGACCATAACTCAGGGGTGATCGTAATTTGCCCAATCTGTATAGTGTACGCATACATTTATATGTATATGTATACGTGGTTTGCCTGTCACCAGTTATTAAAGTGCTTCTACAAAAGTGATTATCCACACCTGGGCAGCAATTATTCAGCACTACACATACACATTAGATTATCATCTCCAAAAAGCTTTACACACACTTTCTTCAATTTCCTTTCTCTTACCATTAAACATTTTCTTTCCCTCTAACTAAGCATCCATAATATTTATTAACTAGTCCAACTTTTCGAGTTCAATCATGGAAAACCCGCTTATAAGTCCGTCGATCGCTACAAAACCGCCAACCTTTCGATAGATCAGCCGAATCGAACTTAGATCAACGACAACACGAGAAAAGAAGGTTATAAATAAATACATACATGAAGTCCTTAAGTGGAGTCGGGCTTGGTTTAAGCCTTGTTTTCGGTTGTCTTTTAGTGGCTCTTTTAGGCGAGCTCTACTATTTGCTATGGTGGAAGAAGAAGAGTATTGCTAAGAGACGGAGAAGAAGAAACAACAGTAATATTAACGGCAACGGCGACGAAGAAGGATGTTGGAAAAACCCTAGTAGTACTATTTGTTCTCTGAGATGCACTGCTCAAGATTTGTGCTCTTCTTCGTCTTCGGTCCACGAGCCGCAATCTTCAATGGAGTTGTGGCTCAAGCCCTTTAGAGACGGAGAGAATTTGCCGAGATTCCTGTTCACGATAACCGAAGAAACGAGAGAGGATTTGGAGTCGTCTGAAGATGGTGGGAATATTGTGAGTAGGAGCAATTTGAATGATTTACTTCAAATTTTGGAGACTCCGTACTTAACGCCTATCGGTTCGCCGCATTATTTCACACCACCGATAACTCCGTCGTCTTTTTCGAATACTACTTACGATAATCGGTTAATAAATAGCCCGTTTTCGGAATCGGAAAGGGATGCAGCATTCAATAGGCTTATGTCGTCTCCACCTCCAAAGTTTAAGTTCTTGAGGGATGCCGAGGAAAAGCTTATTGTTAATCAAAGAAGAAAAAATATGGAAGAAACGGGGAATCGTGAACGGAAAATTAACGATGATAGTTCGGATTCAGTGGTGTGTAAAGAAGAGGAAAATGGGCCGTTCATCACAATCATTGTTGCTAAGAGCCAAGAAGATGAGAAAGAAGAACAACTCAATAATGTTAGATAAGTTTTTTTCTTCACCTGCCAGCTTTTCTTTTTTGTTTCCTACTTTTTTGTTTATACAATGAAAAGCTTTTTTTTTTTTCTTTTTTTTTTTTAGTTTGAGAATATAGTCCATGGTGTTAGTTCATTTTTGCAGTAATGAAATGATGACTTGATTCATTTTCTGATTTTATATGTTTTGTTTTTAAACAAGAATCGAAACTTTTTAAAGAGAATTTTGTTAAGTATACTAATTATGTGGTGATGTACATTGATGCCTGGCCTTTTAGTTTAATTACAATTATGTACTCAAGTTGAAGAGGTACAAAAAAAATTGAGAAACAATTATGGCTTATGAGATCCTATACTTGGTGATATACATAAATAACTGCCGACTAAGGACACATATACATGGGTGTGTGTTATTATGTGTAGATCAATAATATAAGGCCTCGTTTGCTTACCTATATTTGATTAGGTATTATTAGATTAGATTGGATTAATTCTCTATTGGGTTAATTAATTAGTTAATAATATGATTGGTTCTTTATATTAAACGTTGTATTAAATTTGTTAAATTAAGTTATTATATGTAAATTGTCTATAAAGTCTTTTATTTAACAAAATTAAATTATTAATTTAAGGATAAATTAGTAATTTTCCATTTTAGTCATCCCTACAAAATTAATCGGAGGGGGATGGGTGTTACTAATTTCATGACGTAGTAGCACTTATTTGCGGGCTTCAACTTTAATAACGGGCTTGAGTAATGTTAAATCCTACCAACCAAACATCTTACTTAATCCTACTATTTAGTTAATCTAACATAATAGTAGCATACTAACGAGGCCTAAAACTACGTAGGGTATTTCAACAGTGCAGGTTCTACAAACAAAACAATTATCGGCTTTAATCTTTTTTTTTGTTTTCCTTCTTTTACATGGCAAAATTTTTAATTTTTACTTAACTAAATGTAATTTCCCATCATTTCAAATTTGTTATCATAAATAAATTCAAAAATTGATAAACTTAATTAATGGAAGTTCTGACTTGTTATAAAGAATAGTGGACACGTAGCAACATTGCACAAAAGAAAAAGAAAAGGATATATTATTAGGGTTTTTTGCAAAAACTACCCCTGTATAATCTCGAATTGCCGAAAAAGCACCCGTGTTAAAAAAATTAGCACATAACCCCCTGTGAAAATTAGTTAAAGCCAAAAAGGACCCTGCGTGCTCAATGTGAGATGCACTCGCGGCTTGTGCGACTGGGAGTCTGATTTTTGACCTAAAAAGACCCAAATACCCTAACTCAACATTTTCGAAAATTACAAATTTATCCAGGATTTTTCACATGCCTAAAATGAAGTTTTTAGAATTTTCGATTCAGTCCCTAACAATTTCAGAAAAGCCCTCTCTCCAAATTGCATAGGACCAAATTGCAATTTTCATAATTTCTTAAACCTAATCATCTCCCTCCTCCCTCTCCTTCTTCAGATCCACTCCTTTGATAAAAAAGAAAGGGGACAAAAATTCCAGCCCCCCCTCTCTCTCCAGAATTCCAGCCCATTTGCAAAAGAAGGAAAAACAAAAAAAATTGCTTTCTCCCTGAAACCCGGCGGAAGACGAAGGCACTTCACATTGAAGATTTGACAGATGAGAATTGGAAGAATTGCCCGTCCCTTCTCCGTTTCTCTAATGGTGGATATGAATTAAAAATATTTTGAAGTAATTGTTTGAGGTGGGGCGGCGGGTGTGTTGGCAGTGGTGGTGCGACGGTGGAGGGCTGGATGGAAGAAAAGGAAGATGATGCCATGAGTTGAGCCCTTGTGCGTGATAAATTTTTTGTTCTTTTTTCATTTTTTTTATTATTTTATTTTATGCATTTTATTTAGTTAAAATTAAAATATTATTAAAAATTATCAGGGTTAGTTTAGTAATTTTATCTAACTTAGCAGCCAATTTCAGAAAAAGGGGCGATGTTCTCTATCAAACAAAACATAGGGTGGTATTTGCTAATTTTTATAACATGAGGACTTTTTTGACTATTCAAGATTACACAGGGGGTTATGTGCAATTAGCTCTATATTATTAATTAGTGGAGAGTTGAGGGACAGAATTTGAAGTGAATTTTGGCGTTATGGGAAAAAACAGGTTGGATACTTTCTCGTGACTCAGTGTGGTGCGTGCTGCTAACCGAAAGTGCCCCGCAACTTGAACACTATCATATCATTTCCTCCAAACAAACCTTTTTCTTGGACTTTTCATTTTTCGCATGCCCTTCCAGAACAAAAGATAAATGGCACATTTAATGAGATAGTTTTTTTATATTCGATTATTTTGTTCAATATTCGAATTTTTTTTTTGGCCCCCGTAAAAAACAGGAATATTACTGTGGTTGACAACATATTAACATACTATTTAACACAGTCATATTACTATATGCTATTTTACTATCTAGCACAACAATATTAACACAACAAAATCACTATGTCACATAATAATTATTGTGTAATGCAATAATATTATTATTGATACGATCCTAACAAGCTCCAAGATGAAGAATTGGAAGGAACGAAAGCGCGTGAATTTAAATAAGTTATTCGAGTTGTCCTTGAAGCATAAAGGCTTGAATTAGACCTTTGAAGAGTCCGTGGTGTGATTGGAAGAAAAGAAAGAGAATAATTCGTTGGAAAAGTCGAATTCCATGCATCCGAGATTCTCGCCTATCTTTGGCAGTTTTACCATTCGAGTTATAACTCTCTCATCTGATGTCCAATTAAGGTGATTCAAATTGACGGGGAAAGCCAACTTAAATATGTACAACTTTTATGTTTTGATCGGGGTGGAAGATAGCAGAAATTGAACTTGAAGTCTCTGCACTTGCAAATCTAAATGTATACACGAGTTTAGAAGGGTGATCGGGAAGTCGACTTTTTGTTAAAGTTATTTGATTTAGTTTTGTGTTTTTATTATTGTAGAGCTATTTATGGTTAGAATTTGCTTATTTATTAGTTTCCTAACTGTAGTTTAGGTAGGAGTCATTTTCATTGTAAATAGAGAGTCTTTTTAGGTTTTGTAAATTGGTTGTCGATTTGGCTTATTTTAATTGACGAATTTTATTGAATATTTTGATACTATTCTCTCTAGTTCTTTAAGAACTCTTCGAACATATCAGAGAATTCCGTGTGTTCATCCCGACTTATCAATCAATCTTTCACAATTGATTTTGGTGTATTTACATACCAATGTTCTTGTCTCTTTATAGACAGCGGGCCGCGGTTCCACCCCTTTGATTCCTTGTTTCTTGGATGTTTCGATCTTGGTTCCGCGTAAGGTATTGGATCTCATAACAAGTTCTACGGGGTTCATATCAGTCGGTAAAGCCAATATCCAAAATAGGTAGATCCATTGATATGGTGTGAACACTGGTTATACATATCCGTGATAAAGAGGTATATGATGATAGAAGATATGGTGTGACGTCTGCCACATCAAGAAGAGTTAATATGGGATGAAGGGCTCAGTTCGGCTGAAACCTATTTTGGATATTGGCTCTGGTTACCAACTGATACGAACCCTGTAGATCTTGTTATGAGACCCAATACCTTAAGTGGAAGCAAGACCGAAACATCCAAAAAACAAGGAATCAAAGGGGTGGAACCACGACCCCTTGTCTATAAAGAGACAAGAACCTTGGTATGTGAAGACGCCACAATAAATTGTGAAAGATTGATTGATAAGTCGGGGTCAACGCATGGTATCCTCCGATATTTTCGAAAAGTTCTTAAAGAACTACAGAGAATAATCTCAAAATATTCATTATATTAAAATTCGTCCATTAAAATAAGCCAAATTGCAAACCTATTTATAAAACCTAAAAAAACTCCCTTTTCACAAGGAAAATGACTCCTACCTAAACTATAATAAAGAAACTAATAAATAAGGAAATCTTAACTATAAATAACTCTACAATAACAAAAACATAATAAAACCTAAAATAAAAACGTGCATAACGAAATTACATAACTTGAACATTGATACGAACCAGCCAAGTACACGAGCTAGTGCCGAGTTAGATGAAAGAGTTGATGTTTCAGACGAGTTGCATGTGCCAAGAGGACCGATTACACGAGCTCAAGCCAAGCAGATTGAAGCAGCCTTGCTTAACTTAGTGAAAGACAAGCTCCGAAGGGAAGAATCAATGAAGCCTAGTTTGATCCTTGCTGAACTTAATGTGAGTGAATTATCGGAGCAGATCGTGAAGCAAACCGAGCTCAAAGACTTGAACCCGTTTAGTCATCCAATCGATAAGACGTGACTTGGAGAATAAGAATTAATTAATTTTCGTATTTAATTTTGAGACAGTTATTCCTTGCGATTTAGAGTCCGATCTGGACTAGACTGAGTTTATTTGGTTATTTACTTATTATAGATAAGTTAGGATATTTTCCTTGCTAGATTAGGTCTCTTTGAGACATATAAATAGGTTGTTTTAGGGTCATTACATTTTGGACATTTTTAAGCATTATTTTGAGATATTAAAATTCTCCTTTGTTGTTCGTCAACAACTCTTCGGGATATTTTGCGAGTGGATTCTTGTAAATTATTCTTAGCAATATAGTATTGGTTTATGATTCATTATAATCACGGGGTCAATACTTCCACCTTGATAATATTGGTTTTTATCTTTCTATAGCTATGGGGTCAATATTCTGAATTCCGCCAATCGAATTTTGGTTTGGACATTCCGTTCTTGCTCCCGCATAAGATTATTGGGTCCGGTAATAAGTTCTACGGGGTTCGTATCAAACATCAAGTCGACTTCTCGATTACTCTTCTAAACTCGCGTAGACATTAGGTTGTGCACGTGCAGAAATTTGAAGCTCGATTTCAGTCATCTTCCACTCCAAATATAACTCCGATCAAAACATCAAAGTTGCACATCTTTAAGTTAGATTTTCCCATAAATTTGAATCACCTTAATTATTAGGGGTGAACATAAACCCGCTCCACCCGCTTGACCCGCCTGACCGGAGCCGACCCGCCCGAAACGCGCCGATTTTAGATATAAAATATTCATGGGCAGTTTAGTAATGTGGAAACCCGATTAGAATGGGTCGGTTGGCGGGTTTCACAATTAAAACCCGCAACCCACCCGACCCGCCCGGTGTATATATATATATATATATAT